GCATGCTCGGCAGCCTGTCCACCTGGGTGTGTTTGACCCGTAAATACAAAGGCGTGCGAGCACGTGTCTTCACATGCCCTAACGAAGCTGTTCGTTGCGCACTACCCTCATGCAGTGCGCGCCCGTCAAAGCTTTGAGGAAGTCATGCTCGTCCAAGGCCAACGTTGCCGTTATGGACCAGCTGTGCGGCGAGCTGCTGGCCCCGGCCAATGTGACGACTGACAGCAAAGTGGGTGCATGTGCGCAGGCTGAACACATGTGCACGCAAGTGACGAAGCATGTGCATGGCCAGGTGTTTGGGGATGCGTACACTGCAGATGCAATGACGCCTGAGAAGGTGGCGTGCTTGTGAATTTCGTCCAAAAGCACTCCCCCCACTGATTTGCACCAACTGCAGCCCCTCTAACGCCAGTGATCAGTCGGTCATGGCATGATTACCACATTCACACCCTTGCATCCTCCTGCTTGCTTTCCCTCACTCCCCTAGGATGCCACCAAACTTCGCTATGGCTGTGGCGTGGCCACCACTGCCCAGGTCAACAAAGTGTCCAGTGACCTGGCAACCCTGGAGCCCAAGGTCACCGCCGCCGTTGCCCAGGCCAGCTCTCTGCAGGCCACTGTCACCCAGGAACGCAACCAGACGGCGGCACTGCGCGCCGAATTGGACGGGTTGCGCTCAACGATTGCAGCGCTCACCACGGCTGGCACACGCACTGCACAGCAGCTGGCCTTGCTGGAGACGGCAAACCAGACCGCAGCCCAAAAGATTGCGGCGCTCACTGCCACTGTGCAAGAGCTGCAGGCGACCGCGACCAATGCTACCGACCCAGCCAGTCTGTCCCAGCAGTTTGCCACCCTTGCATCGACGGACACGCGCACCGCGCAGCAACTGGCCTTGCTGGAAGCTGCGAACAACACAGCTGCCCAGCAGATCGCCGCCCTTGCAGCAGACAACTTGCGCGCCGCGGAGCGGCTGGTCTCGCTGCAGGTGGCAAACCAAACAGCCGTCCTGGAAATCGCAGCGCTCAAGTCTGCGTCGCAGCAGTGCACCTGCGGTCTGGAGCTTGCGGCTGTCAACACCACCCTGGCAACAGTCACGTCGCTCCAGCAAACGGGCGCAGCGGCAATCTCCTTGACCAACGCAACAATAGAGACCCTCAGATCCGCAGTCGCCGCAGATGCAGGCAGCCGTGCGTTGGTCAACACCACCCTTGCCACCCTGGCAGCGACGGTTGCCAACCTGTCGGCCGTCAACTTCGCTACTTTCGTCAAAACCACAGACCTTCAAAACATCGATGCGGCGACTCTGGGCGGAACGCCTGCGGCGCAGTACGTGCGTGCGCGCGTAGTGCTGTTTGCTGAAAGCGCTACGATGCGGCAGGGTGCCTTCAGTGGTCGCAGTGGTGCCGACGACCTGTGCAGCAACTCCGCTGCCCGACCTGCCGGGCTCGCACGGGTGCGTGCGTTCCTATCGACATCTTCATCTGACCAAGTTAAGGACTTCACAACACTGTATGGGGTTCCCACGTCGCTCGCGATTACGTCTCCGGTTGCGACCGTCATAGCTGCCAATTTCTCAAGCCTGTTTACCTCACCTCTCCAGAGCTCCTTGTTTGCTGCAAAGGTACTGCCAACATCTGGGTTTTTTTGGAGTGGGAGTGTGGCAGACGGTTCTGCGTCCACCTCTACCTGCAATGGCTTCACGTCCAGCTCTGCAGCAACATCTGGAGAGGTTGGGTTTGGAATCAACATTGATTCTTCTTGGTTATCTTTCAACGGTGGTGTTGGAGTTGGGTGCCACAACCTTGCTTATGTTATGTGCATTGCTTTTTGAGTGCACCACCGCCGATGTATGTAGGTGGCGTACGATGTGCGTCACTTCGCGGTTTTGCGGCTGCGCGCCGCTCCTGCCACCCAGAAATATGCTCATTTTTTGCAGACTGATGCACTTTGACGCAAGCTGTTGTCCGAAGCAGCCCTGCAGGTGCAGATTGCGATATCTGCCGTGCGCTGCCGCTGATGTTGGGTGCAGCGCAATCCCGCAGTGTCCCCGCAGTGGCGTTCGATTCCGTCTAGCTGCTGCAGTTGACACGCAGCGTGCCCGGCGCGGCCGGCGTCCTCGTCGGCCACAAGTCGCGGGAGCACGTGGAGCCAAACATGGCGCTGGCGCGCGCGCCGCGGCTGGGGGACGACGTCTTCTGGCTCGTGCGGGTGCAGGTCGCCGCGGCGCTGCGGCCGGCGGCGGTGGGGGC